AGAGAGAGAGAGAGAGAGAGAGAGAGAGTTGGAAGTTCGCTATCTCCAGGAGGTCGGAGGCTTGTGAGCTGCATGAGTTGGAAGTTTGCCATCTGCAGGTTGGAAGTTCACTATCAGCACACACGCACGGATGTGTGTCTTTGTGCGCGCGCGCGCGCGCGCGTGTGTGTGTGTGTGTGTGTGTGTGTGTGTGTGTGTGTGTGTGTGTGTGAGAGAGAGAGAGAGAGAGAGAGAGGACAATTTAAGAACATCGTGTTCAAAAAAAGGTAAGTGCTTTCTGCATTTTATTACAAAATGTCAATGATGGAATTATCTGTCTCGCTACAACACGACAGTACACGACATGGACACCCACAACACGGAAATGTACACTCGGTGAGTGATCCGCCCTATCGGGTCACCGTCCACCCCGAACGACCAATGACGACCCGCGACGTCGACGACAACCTGCCTACCAATGCGACCAAGAGGGGAAGCCTACAACTTTCTCGCCACCCACATTCGTGGACGCCAGAAATGCACAACACACTCGCTAGCAGCTCTACCGCTCACGAATAGCCTTCGCTATTTCGAACAAAACATGGCACATGAGTTTGCTGACTTCCTCCAACGCAACGTAGTGTTTTTTTTGCACTTCAACTTCAGCTTCCAACGCCTTGCACTGCCGACCTGGATGGAGCATTGCCGCTTGTTGGCACTCTCCATCGTCGACGCCATGAGCGCCCCGTGCTTCTCCATGCATTCCGTCATCGCCTCGAAAGTCTGCTGGCTCGTGCTCTTCCTATTCCCGAAACCGTCGGGGCTACCCGTCGTTTGGGAAGAACCTCTCGTCGACCCCTCCTCGTCGTCGTCGCGCCTCGCACCGGCGTCCCCGTCAGCAACCAATTCAGGATCCGGAGACGCCGCCGTAGGCATGCGCACACCGTAAGAAGCACCACTGTCGGCGACATTCCTGGGGTAGATGGTATGGTTCTTCCCGGTCCACCCCTCTATCTCGTCGTAAACCGCACGATCCATATTGAAATTGAACCCCCTGTTCGGCCTCTCCTTGCCATTCAACTGGAATAAGTCTTGCCCCCCGGATGATGTTTGGAAATGATTGACTTTCTTGAACCGCTGCATGAGATTGTCCCACTTCTTCCCTCACTTGTCGGCTTCCCTGTCCACGCCCACGTTTTTCAACCTCCGAGCGACTTCTTGCCACTTCCATTCTCGAGGCTTTATCCGAGCGTACGCGTGGCCCATCCCCTGCATATGCGCATCTTGGTCACGTTTAGCCCTTACGAGGGCTATAATGTGCTCGACGGACCAGAAGTTACGCTTTTCCTCGGCATCACCGTCGTCGTCGCCATCGCTCCCCTTGCCTTGTGCCTTCTTCCCCCGAGGACAAGCATTGCGGTCGGAAGCCTTCGTCTTCCCGCCCCTACGTGCCATGCCCTTCTGCCTGAACGGTGAGACATAACCGCCCTCCCCCTCCCCGCCTTCTCCGTCGTTGTCATCTTCATCGTTATCGTCTCCTTCCACATGTGCTGCGTCCGTGTCCTTTTCCTGATCCGCCACACGAAGCGGCTCCACCCCCCGTCTGATAGATTCCTCTCGCCCCGCCCGAAGCTCCCACAGCAATTTTCGGCGATTCCTGAGGTTCTTGTCACCCTATAAGGAAGACTTGCCTTTTCGGACAAGTTTGCCTCCGTGTGAGGATTGAGCCCTCAAGTAGGGGCCTTGCCATGATGTACATGTTCTGGGCTAAGGCCCCAGCAAGCCTCGTGCCCGCCCTAAGTGAAGGCGGGCCAGCAAATCAACAAGAGCCCTTTGTGCCCACATTTTACGAAGTGGGGTTCATACAGTTGCAGCACGCCAGGTGGTTGGTGTGCACCGAGTCTCGGATTTCAGCAAATGCTGAAAGCCCAGGGCCTCTGAGTTAGTTAGGCCCTGGGCACTCGAACGTGAGGCCGACAATGCATGCTGGGTAGAGAGGCCGAAAATGCCAAAGGGAAGTCGGCCCACTATCTGAATCTGGCCACAGGCCTCGATGAAAGAGGCGCAACTGCATTGCCCCGGGGCCCAACTGTATCGAGTTGACTTCAGCCTCTGGGTCCCGGTCACAGGCTGAATGGAGGCCACCCACACGCTGCATTGGCATATAGGCAAGCAGGGCGAGGGAGCAAGGATCTTGGCCAATGCTGGCACTTGCGGGCACGCTGCGCGGATGCAAGTGTGCTGCGCTGTGCAAAGCAGTGCTGCGCTAAGAGCAAGCAGGCCAGCGCTAGGCGGTAGGGCGCTGCCTGCATGCAAGGCACTGGCGGCCATAGCCAGGCCGCATGAGGGTGTAGGAGAGGTGAAGGGCGAAGGTGGTCTTCGGAGGTGAAGGGCGCTGTGTGGGTAACAAGGGAGAGTGTGGGGAAGAGGACATGTACCTGGTGGAGGTGGAGGTCGGCACTGGTGTTGACATCATCACTCGCTGGTAGTCAAGTTGTCTGGTTGCTTTCATTGCTGTAGTTGTAGGATAGGCTGTAGAGTAGATAGGGCGCCTGGCGCCATTCACAAGAGAGAGCTACATTTGGGTTATGCTGTTGGTGTTGCCCTGTTGGGCATGGACATTGACTCACGATTCTTCTGTATCATTCTCAATTGGATGGTTACTCGGTTCCATTGTACTATCTGCTTTGGCTTTGAATACTTGGACTTCAGTGTGATATTGCATTCTGGATTTCTGTGCTTCGTCCATACTCATGTTCCTTGCATCCGCTTTTTCAGCACACCAACTGATCCCCGTGCCTCCTTTCCGAACGGGATGGCTGGTATGCTGGCGGACTCTAGACGTTGGCTAGCGTACCAGCCATCCCGTGCGGAAAGGAGGCACGGGGATCGGTTGGTGTGCTACAAAAGCGAAGGTAGGCAGAGTGGAAACAAAAGTGCTCGAATTTGCCGCCAACAGTTATGCACTCGGTGCCTGCCCTATTGTAAAGAAGGTTTTTGCTTTCTTTCATTCATGGAAAACGAGTTTTTACAAACAGGAAAAAAGGGAAACGAGGGTTCCCAGCCTCCGGGCCAGACTGAACATGACGGCCTGAGCGAGCGAAGGTTCGCTCCCCCCCCCTCTGCTCTCCGAACGTTCGACCAAACATCCACCTTTTTTTTTTTTTTTTTTTTTTTTTTTTTTTTTTTTTTTTTTTTTTTTTTTTGGGGGGGGGGGGGGGGGGGGTGTTTTTTTTTGGTTGTATGAATTAAAAAAAAAAAAAAAAAAAAAAAAAAAAAAAAAAAAAAAACATACAGGGGTGGGGGCTAATACCCGGCCGAACGCAAGCTTGTGCCCTCCCCTCCGAATCCTCCCCCCCACTAGGGGTGTGGGTGTGTGGGTGTGTGGGTGTGTGGGTGTGTGGATGTGTGCGCACCACCCACACACAAATGTGTGCGCGCACACGAGTGATACATGCCCAGTTGGGCAATGTATGTAGAGCCAAGGATCCGCAATGTGATAAAAAGGACTGAATGGACAATGCAACGTTAGTGAAACATCAACAGGCAATGTACATCCTGACACATACGAAATGGCACTCGATAGCACAGCGGAAGAGTTCAAGGTAAGTCCTGACCTGACCTGGACTGACACGACATCCCATCATACATCACACGTGTGAGAGGAAGAGGAGGGACCGCACACCAAGAAGAAAGGTCCCTCCTTGTACATGCACATGGGGAGATACCATAGACGAGGGATGGAGGGAGAGGGAAGACGAAGATGGAGGTGAGGGAGGAGTCCAAGATCGCGATAGTGAAGTCCAGAATAGTCCCTTGCCGGTGTCCAATCAATGTCTGCCTCAGAAATATCGAATCAGATCCTGGGCAACATGCCCTTGGTAACCTCTGCCGATATCCTCTGCTGATAACCTCTCTCACTCTCGTATCTGAAGAAGAAGATGAAGAAGAGGAAGGAGGAAGGAGGAAGAAGGAGAGAGAGAGATAAGATGGAGGACGAGAAGGGAGAAGAGAATGGTGTCCTCCTCCCTATCTCACCTACAGGTGCTACCGCCGTGCTGGCTATTTCGCCGCCCTGTGCAGGTGCCGCGCGGAGCCCAGCTATGGCGCCAGGTAAGTCCGCTGCTGCAGGTAAGCCTCCGTCTCTCTCTCCTCGCGTGTGGGTCTCCTCCTGTTCCAGTAGCGCAGCCTCTATCCAGCAGCGTGTCGTTCAAGAAGTGAGCGACCGAACTCTCTGTTGAGTCCGGCCTCAGCCCAGCTATATCTAGCGCTGGGCCGACTGGGCGGACTCAGGTGCGGCCTCAAAACGGCCTACTGAGTCTGGGTCCCTACCGGGTGCCCGGACTGCGCTGCTGATGCAGCAAGCCGCCAAAACGCGCCTGGCCTTGAAAAAGGCCTGGTCCCTCCGTACCTGGTCCAAGGCGTTGCCTTGGGACCTGCAGTCCGAAACGTCGTCTGGACCTGCAGTCCGAAACGACGTTCGGACGGACCCTACCGGTACCTGTGGCCAAAGAGGCCGCTATGGACCTCCAGGAAGCGCGCTGGATGGCGCGTGTCCTGGGGCCCCTTAGCAACCATCGGGCCCTTCAAAACAGGGCCCGTGTGCAGGCGCAGCATGTAACACGAGAGAGAGAGAGAGAG